GGCCTCATGAAGCTTGTCGACGCTGAACGACTTGACGCGCCGCATGTCGATGCCGTGCCACCACCTTCGAAAGCGAGCGGAAGATCGGAGTGACGAGGGGTGTTGTGGGGGAAATTAGCAATTCGATTAAAGCGACCGTCACGCAAGAGCCCAGGAAACGCGACGCGACGATTCACCCGACCGCGGCCGACCGCAGGGTCGAGATGCGATCGCGCGAGCGGCGGCCCTCGACGGAAGACATCCAACAAATACAATGCATCTCGGGCGGCTATCGGTCGCCGCCTGTCGCCGCGCTGCCAGCCGACGCACGCGTGACGCAGCGACCACGCGGTGCTCAGGTCGATGATGCCGTCGTCTTCCTGCGGCGGGTTCCCGAAAACCCGCTCGGCGAAATGGCGAAGCAAGGGGGGGGTCCGTCCCCGTCCGAACCGAAAAGTTGCGCCTGCGCCGAGTTCGGGGCGGAACAAATGACGGCCTTGCAAAGCCCAATAGGGGCCCCCTTACACCTCAAACAACCCGACACAGGTCATAACACTGCAAGCATGCAGTACAAAGCAACGTAGCACACAATGCAGGCACATGCCAGGCAGCGCATGGGAACCGAGGTGACGACTAGATACTGTGACGGAACCTAGATGACATAGAGACTTGAAGTACAAAGATGACAAACGACAGCGCGCGAATCAAGATGATCAGCAAACGACAGGGGAACCAGGAGAACAATAAACTGGTGGAGCAGGACAAATAGCAATTGGAACGCTAATTTAGAATGTCATTAATGCCTGCAACAAGTGAATTTGCATGACACATGTCCTGCACCGCGATATGGGTCACTTTGGTGGGGTCGTAATGGACGGGCGCCAAGTCGACGTGTCCGTATACGACCTTCGGGCGGCAGAATATGGCATGCGCCGGATCAATTTGCCTTCCCCACGCCATGCAAAGACAGCTCCCTTTGTTTACAACAAAAAAATGCCACCGCGCGCGTGGAAGTGGCGGACGGGGACAAATTGGGTCGCCCGCAAGGGCAGATCACATCAGGTTGGGGATTGCAATGGCGTCTCGGGCAACCCCAGCGCTCTCCCGTAGCGGTCGCCTCCGCTCTTCTGCACTCCGAACGTTTAAGTTTTTGTTCGGCTACGACTTAGACATGATCAGCCATATACGCACATGCCATATACAGCTCTGCAGCGCCAAAAAACACGGGATAGCTTGATTTCACTGTTCAGCGCCCCTAAGAACCCCGTCGGCGATGCCAAGCGGCAGCCCCGATGCCTCCGCCGCGTCGTGAGCCCCGTCTGCAAGCCGCCCGCGCGGGGGCGAGGGCGACTTGGAAAAGGAGCAGACGCGGTCGGCGCCAGGCGGGGTCACCTTGGCGAAGAAGGCAAACCTGCGTGGCCCCAGCGTTTGGCCAGTGCCATCCAGAGCTCAGGCAAGGTGCGCGCGCGCTCCTGACCGACCACAGGAGTGACTGCGCTCCGCCCTTAGGCCCAGGATGGCACTTGCCAATGCGGCGGCGGCGCGTCGAGGCCCCCCGCGCAACCTTGGCCACGTGTGCGCAAGCTGCGTGCGCGAAAGAATGCGCGGGGTTGTGCCAGCATTCCCAGCGCTGGTTCACCTTGGGAGCCATCAATCTGCGATATCACAAGGGCTGACCGATCAAGCCTGAACGGGCCGAGCGAACATCTCCGAACGGCAAGCTGGGAGTCTTCGCGACCGTGGTGGTCCTGGCCGCGGCCGCGGACAATGGGGGGATCACTTCCGAGCCCGCGGCCGACGCAGGCCACGGGTAATTACCGCCCGCGCACTCATCGATCCAGTTGGCAGCGCTGGAGAGGCGGTAAAAGAACGCCATGGCGGCTACCAAGCAAACTAGCACCTCGCACGTTCGGGCCAGAATGCCAACTCTGCGCGCAGCGCTGCCGCAGAGCGAGCTGGCGACTACTCCTGCGAAATACCACGATGCATTCGCCATGAACAGCTCATCGCATGACGCTTCTATCTGCGTGACAACGCCGACATGCGACACACTCACTCACAAAACAACCTGCTTTACAAACAACGGGGGAAGGATATCATCTCCGCACTGAACAGAAGAAAACAAATCCTGATGGCCGATCTGCCCCGAGGTGCTGGCGCAGCAACAAGTTGACGTGGGAGCCGCGGGCCGCCACTGTCGGCGTCGCCCTGGCAGCGGGACAGCGGGCCGAGGCAGGCCGAGCAGGGGATGTTGCTGCCAAGTCGAAAGAGGTCCCGAGCGACGTGCCCGCGCGACCACCCACGCGAGCCCATGAGCGCATGCAAAGCAGCGCGCGTCCATTGCGCGCGACAGTGAGCACGCGGCGCGCATAGTGTACGCGCACGCTGTGCACGTGGTGTGCGCGCGGAGTCCACGCGTGCTAGTAGTAGTAGTGGTAGTTGTAGTCGTAGCCGTAGTCGCAGTAGTAGTAGTAGCCGTCGTAGTAGCAGTAGTAGTAGTAGTAGTAGTAATGGTAGTAGTGGTGGTAGTAGTAGTAGTAGTAGTTTTAGTAGTAGTAGTAGTAGTAGTAGTAGTAGTAGTAGTACTAGTAGTGGCAGTAGGTAGTATTAGTAGTAGTAGTAGTAGTCGTAGGTAGTAGTAGCGGTAGTAGTAGTAGTAGTAGTAAAAGTAGTAGTAGTAGCAGTAGTAGTAGTAGTTGGTGGAAGAAAGAAGATATGCTGTTTGTTCCTCATGAAGAAGACACAGTGGTCACCCGCTGCTCCTGCGTCGCGGCGGGTTTGCCGCTGCCTGCTGTCCCTCATTGTCGGCGGGTTGTTCTTGTTGTTCTGCATTGGTTTCTGTTGCGCTTCGCGATTTCCGTCTCCAGGAGGGCGCCCTAAAAATGGGATGCCCTTTTTCGCAACAGAAGGCGCAACTGATTCTCACTCATTCTGCGTCGCGGCGGGTTTGCCGCTGCCTGTCGCTCACTACCATCAAGGCGTTGTCTTGTTGTTCTGCATGTTTTTTTTTTCTGCTGCGTTTTGCGATCCCCGCCTCGGAGAGGGCACCCTAAAATCGGGATGCCCCTTTTCACAGCAGAAGACGCAGTTGCTGCTCACTGCTTCTGCGTCGCGGCGGGCTTGCAGCTCTATGTTGTTCGTGGTTGTTGACGTGTTGATCCTGTCGTTATGCGTTGCGTTTCTGTTGCGTTTGGCGGTGTCCGTCGCCACGAGGGCATCCTTAATTTTGGATGCCCTTTTGCGCCACAGAAGACGCACTTGTTTCTCATTGGGTCTGCGTCGCGGCGAGTTTGCCGCCGTCTGTCGTTCATTATCATCGATGCGGTGTTCTTGTGGTTCAGCCGTGTTTTCTGTTGCGCTTTGCGATTTCCGTTCCCAGGGGGGCATCCTAAATTGTGGATGCCCTTTTGTTTTTCTGAACCCTCAGAGTAAGGGGGGTCTTATCCAAGATCCCCCGACAGAAGGATCTTGCCTAGATACCGCCACCTGGTGGTCGAAGTTCGAACGGCATTTTCTGGGGCGGGGGGAGCGGCGGGCCCGCCGCGCGGCAGCGTGTGGGTGTGTCGTTAGCAGCCCCGTGCAGGGGTGCGTTGTCATTGGGTCGGTCCGCTTGCCCCTCTTTCGGTTTGTTCTCTGAACGCCCAAACTAATGTTATCCGAGACGCACGCAGAAGGATCTTGTTCAAGATGCCGCCACCTGGTGGCTTGGGGTCTGTCTCAGTCGTGCACTTGAGCACAAACGGCAGAACCTTGCGATTGGGCCCAAGCAGCCGCGAGCTTATGGGCGTCAAAAAGCGCGTCGTCAGTAGGTTGCTCCGTTTCCCCTTCCGTCGAGTTGTTCTTTTCGGAACCTCCAAAGCAAGGGGGATCTTATCCAAGATCCCCCGACAGCAAGGTCTTGTTCAAGATGCCGCCACCTGGCGGTCGAAGTTCGAACGCCATTCCCTGGAGCGTGGTGGGCGGCGGGCACGCCATGCGGCAGCATGTTGGTTTTTTCGTTAGCAGCCCCGTGCAAAGGTCGCGCAGGCGCCTCGCTGGCTGCCCACGCAGCCGCCCCTAAGGGACCGGTTGCGCCTCGAACCCCACTTCGCGGGGTGCAAAGCGAGCCAGTCCCAGCGCTTCTTCTCCTGGGGCGTTGCCCAGTAGTTGAAGCGAGCCTGCTTTGAGCGGAGGTCGGCGAAGGCGGCTTTGGCCTTGCCGGGCTCCTCCTGCAGTTCCTCGTTGCTCTGCTCCAGCTTCTCGTTGGCCCGCGCCAGCTGCCGCAGCTCCTTGAGTTCGTCGGCCTGCTCCTGCTTCTCGCGGGTCGCTGCGTCGAGCTCCCTCGTGAGCTTCCTGTTCTTCTCGCAGAGAGCGTCGAACCGAGAGGTGGAACGAAGGGTAGCAGTGGCCAGTGCATCGCACAGACGCCTGTGCGAAGCAGCCTTGAACTCCGTCGCTGCCTCCTTCAAGGCTTTCGCCACCCACGGTTTGCCCAGGAAGTTTTTCACAGCCCTGACGCGTGCCCTGCCCATGTTGGCGATGCGCTTCCTCTCGAGTACTGCCTTCGTCGAGGCTGGCATGGTAGCAAAAATGAACAACTTGAACCAAAAAGGGCTACGGAAACGATAGGATGCGAGAGCGAGCGCTAGCAGCGCAGAGTGCAACGGATTGTCAACTGTGATCCCACCCGCCCCCTGGGCGGAGGTGGCTCAGCGAGCCTTGTCCGTCCACCCCCCTTCTTCCCCCTAACCCCTTCCCCCTGCGTCTGGAGAAGAGGCCCCGCGGCGGGTTGGAGCGCGCCAGATGGCTCCAGATGGCTCTGAGAGGCCGCAAAGGGTCCAAGATGGTCTCCAAGATCGATCAAGATAGCCCAAGGCGGTTCAAGATAGCTTCGAACGAGCCTCGAAGAGGCGCCAGGACCGCCCCAAGACGGCTCCAAGTGGCCACTGCGCCTCTCCATGAGGATTCGGAAATGCCCAAGAGGCCTCCGCAAGAAGCATGTGGACGACAACCCTGTATCGCCCCAAGAGTGCCCCAAGAAGCTACGCATTGGGAGTCTCACTCCTCCTGTTCTTCCTACTCCTCCTCTCCCCTTCCTCCACCTCCTGTCCATCCTCCTCCTACGCGTTCTTCTCATCATCATCCTACGCACTGCGCGTGTCGCTCGAGGCAGCCCCATTCACGACTGCCCAGACATCCAACGCATTGCGCATGTCGCTCGAGGCTGCCCCGTGTCCCTCATTGCATTGCAATCCAATCGATTGCAATGCAATCGGTTGCAATCCAAACGATTGCAACGCAATCGATTGCAAACCATTGCAATGCAATCCCCTTCCCCCCCTCCCTCCGCTCCCTCTCCTCCCCTCCCCTCTCCCCCCTCCCTCCTCTCCCTCCCTTGCAGTCCAATCCTTTTCAATCGAACCGATTGTAATCCAATCGGTTGCAACCAAACGATTGCAACGCAATCGGTCGCAATCCACTGCAATGCAATCCCCCTCCCCCCCTCCCTCCGCTCCCTGCCCTCCCCTCCTTGGAGGGACCAGGAGGATGAAGAGGAGCAGGAGGAGGAAGATAATGCCGATGAGGAGGGTGCTCCCACGAGGGGGAGGAGGGACCAGGAGGATGAAGAGGAGCAGGAGGAGGAAGATAATCCGTCGTTGGGGGGTGCTGGGGGGGGGGGGGGCGAGCATATATTTATATCCTCATCGTTTCATGCAAACGTACATGTCCGACACAGGCTGAGCTACGATATCCATCTATCTAAGTATGTACCAATGTATGAATTCATGCCCGGGGCACCTAGTTGTGAACATCTCTATATCTATGTGTATATATACACATATGTAATATGAATGTATACGTGTTTAATGTACCTGTCGATGTCTATGGCTATGTGCATGTCTGTATACATAAATATACATATGTATGGCTATATGTATATACCTGTATATACATTATGCGCATACATATGTATGGGCACGCATATTTATATACATATATCGTATGCACACATATGTATGCATGTACGCATGGATGTGTATGTGTCTGTGTATGTGTACGTGTATGCGTAGTTGTCTGTGTATGCATGTGTACATGTATCATTGCATGTAGACGCAGCTGTATGTATGTATGCACCGCCTGGGTCTGTCTGTCTGTCTGTGTATGCGTGTATTGCACCGCCCGGGTCTGACGGGAGGTCCTGGCCGCCGCCGCCGCCCGCGGTGCGGCTCCACTGGCGGGGGGGCCCGCCTGGCGGGCCGCCCCGGCGGGCGGCCCGTGCGCGGCAGCCAGGGCCACCCCCCCGCGGGCCGCGCTCGGAACGTGCGCGTCGTCGTCGTCGTCGTAGTGGTCGTCGCCGTCGCCGTCGCCGTCGCCGATGCGGCCGCTGTCGTCGTCATCGTCGTCCACAGGTGTTTTCAGGCGGCTTCTTTTCGCCCGACAGCTAGATTCCCTCCTGAACACAACGCGGTCCTCATTTCGGCGTCTTGCCGTCTGTCTTTAAGGGCCTCGCGTCGCGTCGCGTCGCCTGTTCTTCACGTGTGCAATTGGCCTCGATAGGCGGGCATGGTGGGTGGGTTCGGCCTTGAAAAAACAAAAACTCCCACTGTGCACTGCATCTCTCCGCTCCGCGTCCGGTCCCATCGTTGGCCATGCCCCTTCGACGCTGCCCCGAAGGCGATGCGGGCCGAGGAGCCCCCCCCGGGGGGGCGGAACGCGTAGCCTCTCTGCCTCTCGCTGGAGGCTCGATGCCAAGCAGGTCCTCGTTTCGGCGTCTTGCCCGCATATTGTGTGAGGGGGGAGGCGGGGAGGGCGGCGGCGGCGGCGCCAGCGCGCCTGCTCGCTTCGCGCGGCCGCGCCTCTCCCGCGCCGACACGCCGGCGGCCTCGCGCGGTGGGGGGCCCTGTGCTCGCCGCCGGCGGTGGCGGCGACGACGCCGACGAGGACGATGACGAGAGGGGGAGGAGGAGGAGGAGGAGGAGGAGGAGGAGGAGGAGGAGGAGGAGGAGGAGGAGGAGGAGGAGGAGGAGGAAGGACAAACGGCTGCGCTCCGCGCGGAGGCACAGAGCCGCGCTCGAAAGGCTCGAAAAGGAGGTAGGAGGAGGAGGAGGAGGAGGAGGAGGAGGAGGAGGAGGAGGAGGAGGAGTTTAGGACGACGACGACGACAGCGACGGCGGCGGGCGGCAGCGGCAGCGGCGGCGGCCTCGCGCGGCGAGGGGCCCTCTGCTCGCCGCCGCCGCCGCTCGGCGCCGACGGCGGCGACAGCGACGCCGAGGACGACGAGGACGACTTCTACGCACTGTGCGAGGACGACGGGGACGACGATCAGGGTCACGGCGAGGCGCAGGACTGGGATGACCACGGGGAGGAGCAGGAGGAGCCAGAGGAGGAGAAAGAGGAGGAGGAGAGGAGGAGGAGGAGGAGGAGGGGTAGGAGGAGGGGGAGGAGGAGGAGGAGGAGGAGGAGGAGGAGGGCCCTCTGACTCTCCAGGAGGAGAAGGAGGACAAGACAGGACATCCGCATAAAAGAGGGTCAACGTCGAAACGCCCGCAAAAGAGCAGTAGGGTACGACTTGCAAAATCCCCTGCGATCGTAGTGTGCCGCAGACCCAGACTTCTCATGAGGCCGGCAGGGGGCATACCCCAATGCCCAAAGGGGCGAGCTCCAATGTGGCCACGTGAGAGAGGCTCGCTACCTTGTGAGTGCGAGTCCCTACCAGTGAGGGGGGAGCGGCTGCTGGCCCTCTCGCGTGCCCGTTCTGTGGGGACGCGCTTGGCGAGCAGGGCTCCCAAGCACGGGGGGAACGACGACACGACCTCACTCCACGACGCAAGGGAGAGAGCTTCTGCTGTGGGGCCTAATTACAATTCTACCTACATCCTGCTGTGTCCACGCTTCGAACAGACTCACCTCCCACTCCACACGCCCCCCCCAACTCCTCCACAGAACGGAGGAGGAGGAGGAGGAGGAGGAGGAGGAGGAGGAGCAGGAGCAGGGAGATGACAAGGAGGGCGACGACGAGCAGGGCGAGGACGACGACGAATGCGACGACGACGAGGAGGACGAGGACGTCGGGGACGCCGAGAACGAACAGGACGACACCGAGGACTTGACGTGTCGAGCTCCATCCGCTGGACCTTCACGTCACAGGGGCGCACAAGCGGGCTCCATGAACGAGTCGGTGGCCCAGCCTCGCAGCGAATATAACTCTGTCGGCATGAGTTCCCCTGGGAGTGACTGCTTCCGAACCCTCTCCGTGACCCGTTGAGGAATCAAAGGAGAAAAGATCACAACCACCATCCGCAATACCCGAAGGAGAGGGGCTTGGTTCCAGGGGGTGTCCCTTCTCAGAGTCCACCGCGACAAACGAGTCATAGCCTGCGCGCGCAGCATCCTGCCAAATCGTCGCAGCTCGATTCAAGGACACGATTTAGCGCAGACGCTGCTATTCTGGGTGCTTGGTCATCTTCACGCCTTCCTTAATCCCGAGCTCGGCAGCTGCGTGTCCAAGGAAATTAAAAAAATCGGCCATCTGGGCGCGCTCCGCGCGGATGGTATGAGCGTGTCTGGCCGAGTCCGCCGTGCTCTTCGACGAGTGGCTACAAGTATTCGTGGGCCTGGTGCCCCAGATCCAATCACGCTGAATTGCGGACGTTACATTCGTGCAATCCGCGTGGGTGTGCACGGGGGCAGCACAACTCGACAAGGGCATTCATACCGCCCAGAGCCCCGCGGGAACGATATCGTCCTGGTCGTGGGGGAGCGGCAATAGGCCGTAGGCCTTGGAGGCCTCGGTCCCAAGAACAGTGAGGATCTCATGTTCCCGTGCTGGGTGATCAGGGTGCGAAATTCAGGGCGAGGGGGTGGGGTCCGAGGGGAGCGGGATGCTCCCCGGAGGAGTGCCACCGAGATTGTCAACAGGGCGTGTCCGCCGCAGCCCTCGCGAGCCCTTCCCCGAAGCGCCTGCTGTCCACCCTCGCTGTCATCCTTCTTGCTGACCCTGGACTCTGCGCTGGGGGGGGATCTTGATCACGCGTGAGCTGCTCCCGAGCCCGCTGCAGAGTGCGCGCCCAAACCGACAGGCCGAAGGCACTGTGACGACTGGAGGCCTGCTGCGCTCGCGCGAAGACAACTATCATTACTGCCACGCGTCCCAATTCCCCTTGCCTACCTCTCCGCTTATGCCCCGTGCATCCCTCTGTTCCTGATTCTCTTCGCCCCATGTTTAATGTCTGACCCCCTCATCATCCCTACTTCATGATGACAGCTACTCGTGTTCGATGAATGCATGCGGGGGCCTAGGCGGGAAAAAACGCTGCAAATCCCACCAGTTGCCATCATCATTAGGAAGTAATGGCGCTGTGGCATCATGGAGATCCGGGTTGTGCTGAGGGCATAAGAGCGTGAACGACACGTAATTGAAGATCACGACGGCGAGCAATTCAAATTGCGAAAGCTGTGTGTGCAGCAACGTTGAGCGATAGCCATCTACGTCCAGATCGAAGCCGAAGAGACGTATGACGTGATGGATCCCCGTCAATCGTATCGCTCTGCATAAGTTCGACTGATCATGATAATCTTCGCAATTTCCAATCGAATACTGTATTGGGCTCACGCTCCACGCCTCAGATGCAAAACCTCCTGGGACCAACGCGTCATGTTGAATCCGCCGATCCCCGCTTGCCGGAGGTGAAAAGGCTTGCGAGACATTTGGCTGTCCCTCTCACCCTTACCCTCTACCAGGGTCCCAAATCTAGTCTAAGGGCAAGCGGGGGGGCGAGTTCCTAAACGCTGCTCCAGGGCCTGCGGAGGCTCCAAGTCCATCCTCCAACACGGCACGGCTCTAACAGGGCGCCAACACGCGGACAAGGCTTCAAGTTAGCCCTACATGGCCTCAGGGCAGCTCGGGAGGACCCCAAAATGTCCAACGAATGCTCCAAGAGGACCGCCGGGACCGCAGAAAACTACAGAAAATACATGATCCTTATTGTGTGTGTGTGTGTGAGCGTTTTCTTCTTCGGCATTTCCACATTGGGCGGAAGAGGGGGGAGGGGGGGGGCCCCAGACCTCTGCTCAATGCGACTGTTTGCAACAGTGCGTCCTGTGGGGGAGACTCCACCTGCTCGAAACAGGCGCCAAAACATGCAAGATCGACTCCCTTGGGGGTGAAAAGGGGCGCGAGGGCCCGCGCAGATGGGCAAAGCGAGGAGAAAGAAAACGATCACGCTGCAAGATTCTGGAGCGTTCTTGCCTTCTCGCCGCTCTGGAGGCACAAGACGGCGCGAGAGCCCCCCCCAAAGCCCCCCACCCGCCTCAGGGGGGCCCCTGCGGAGGGCCCAGAGGCGGCGCCGAAGAAGGGCCCCCCCCGGAGTACCAAAGCAGCTCCCAGGACGGCCCCCGGGAGGTGCCCAAGATGGGCCCCAAGAGGGGAAACTCGAAGAAGGCCCCCCCCCCCCCCCCCAAGACCTCCAACATGCCACCGAGAGGCCTCCCAAAGAGGCCCCAAGAAGCCCAGAGAGGCCCCCAGGAGACCCTGCACGGCGCCCAAGAGCCCTCCCCCATGGCCTCCACGAGTCCACCAAGAAGCCCAGAGACAGACCCCGAGAGATTTCTCCAAAGCCTCGTTGTCGTCGTGGTCCTCCTCCTCCTCCTCCTCCTCCTCCTCCTTCTCCTCCTCCTCCTCCTCCTCCTCCTCCTCCTCCTCCTCCTCCTCCTCCTCCTCCTCCTCCTCCTCCTCCTCCTCCTCCTCCCCCTCATCCTTGTCATCGTCCTCCCCCTCTTCCACTTCCTCTTTCTCGTCTCCCTCCATCTGCTTCTGCTCCTCCTCCTTAGGGGGCCACAAGCGAACCCTACCCCTACCCCCCACGATTTCTAAGGGGGAGGGTGGGGTTCACTTCATTCGGGAGGTCACGAGCGAAGTGAACCCCACCCTCCCCCTCAAAAATCGTGGGGGGCAGGGGTAGGGTTCGCTTGTGGCCCCCTACTCCTACTCCTCCTCATGACGTTCTCTTCCTCCGGCATGCGCCAGAGAACCTCCCGGGGGCCGCCCGGAAGCTCACATTATAGGGCCTCGCAGGGGCGCCGGGCCTCGAAGAGAGGCCCCGCAATCGCACCGGCCCTCTGGGCGCAGGTGGTCTAAAGCGCTTCCTTTTCCATCCTCCTTCCTTTCCCTGCTCGGGAGGTTTACCTCCCATCCCCCTCCCTGCGTCTGGACGGGCTCCCCCGCGAGGTGTCAGAGAGCCCCTTTCGGCCCAAGATGGCTCCAAGAGGGCGTCAGAGAGTGCGAGATGGCCTCCAAGATGTCCCAAGATACCGGTAGATGGCTCAAGATAGCCTCCGACACGCCTCCGACATGCCTCCGACACGAAACGGTTTCAAGTACCCTCCGAGCCCTCCGAGGACTCGCCCAAGAGGCCAAAATCCCTGAAAAACCTAAAGAATTCAATGTTTTTGTTTTCTCGTTTTTTCGCCTCCGATGGGCTCTTGAAGCCTCAAGATGACCCCACGACGGCCCAATATAGTCCCACGAAGGGCCCAAGAGGGCCCCAAGACGGCCCCAAGAGCGCCCGAAAACGCCCCAAGAGCTGCCCAAGAGGGCCCCAAGACTGCATTTTTGAGCTTCCGAAGGGGGCGATGGGCACTAGACCCCCCCCATCTTTTTGAGCGAAAAAAGCCCAAGACGGCCCCAAGAGGCCCCGCAGGCATCCCAAAAGAGGCCCAAGAAGGCCCCCAGACCCCCCAAAAGAGCCCTAAGAGGGCCCCAGGACGCCCCCCCAAAAACCCAAGTAGGCTCCAGGAAGATCCTGCGAGGACCTCAAAAGACTCCCAAGAAAAAAACTCCAGGCGGGCCCCAACAGGGCCCCAAGAGAACCCCAAGAGAGCCCCAA